TAACTACTTTATACTTTATACTTTATACTTTTTATTTATGTGATTTAATTTAATTTAAGAGTCTAAACATTAGAAATCCTGCGGTAATCGATATCGATATTAACTGGGCTGGGTTAGAGTTAGTTTCTAACACCTTTGAATTCACGCATACGTATATTTATTTTATTCAATTACATACAGTAGTTTCGTTTATCACGTTAACGTTATCATTATCGGTAGTAATTTATTGCAGTTTTACACTACATAAATGCTCTTTGAATTCTAAATTTCGAATACTCATCATTGTAGTGAATGCATTTTTTATCGGGTACGGGATTACTACAATAAGTGTAGTACGTAAATGTACTCGTTGTCATTTGAATATCATAAACTGTACTGTACTGTCTATTAAAAGAATGAACAATGATAAGCAAATTATAATTCACCAATATCTTCATCCTTCCCCAACCCGAAAACGTCGTTTGGAGTCAACAAGTACAATTCCTCCTTCATCCGAAAATAAGACAAAGTGAAAGCAATCTTATGCTACAATAATTACATCAATTATCGTTATAATGAAAAACGTATTCATGTACGTACTTACCCCGTTTAACGGATTGTTGCATTATTTATGATCGCACATATTCTAATCGACATTTTTTGTGTGCTTTTTTAAGCAACACACTATGTTCATTCATAAGCCAAATATTTCTAAATTTGGCTTACAATACGAATTACGTATGTTCATTCATAAGCCAAATATTTCTAAATTTGGCTTACAATACGAATTGCACACCACTAGTTAACTATTTAAATGGGATTTTCATATTGATTATCAACGTTGCTTTCCACGCTTTTTTTTTATCGCGAAAGCTATACTACTCTTCTTGAGCAAGACTCGGCTCTAGGGTTTTCTAACCTTAACGGCTCGTCGAATAGTATTGCTTTTATATTTTTTCACCTATTAATAATACACCAAGAATCTTTTTTTTGAACTATATCGCGGATCATTCTTAAGCCAGGCCAATTATGAATTCATCTGACTTTAACGAGCGAAAAGTGGAAGCCGTCACGATAGAGAAGATACCAACTACGAAGAAGTTATCACGAGAGGCCCACAAACGTAGAAATAAAAGGCTTAAGTGGGAACGTGAGCACAGACATGAAAAAAATGAACCTTCCCATGTACATGTACCAGAAGAAGAGATACCACCAGTTGTTGATCTTTCTACTGAGCTTAATATTACTTTTGATCCGTCAAGGGTATATTTATTTTTATGAATCTTATGAATCTTTGGATTCGAGTGTTGGATTTTTGTTAATATAGCACCTTATCTAGTATAGCAAAATACCTTTTCTTGCTTGGTTGTTATTGTTTTGTGCTGATAGGAGAATTACCTGAGTTATTTGTCGCGAGTTTGCCCAGCAAGTTATGGGGTGCAACAGACACATAATCACCATTACTCCATGGGAGTTGGTGGCTCAGCGCTTTGGCAAGGGTAATTATTCCGCTCCGCAAAAAAATACAACTTTGTTAAATCAAAGAATAGCTTTTTAAAACATATAAAAACTGACAAGACTAACTTATTCTTATTTTTTAAGCATCGAACACAATTTGCAACCCGGGGGTTATGCACTTTTGATAAAATATATTATATTGAAAACAAGTGGTTGAGTACCCCTCTCTGTGCCTCAGATCGGATATCATCTAAAGAAGCTAAGATCAAATACGACATAACTACACGAGACTTGTTAATAGAAACTCTAATTCGGGAATCAAAGCAGAATAACTCGAGTAGTTTAGAGATCCCTCCAGATTTTTTGACACTAATCGATACTGATATTATTTGCAAAGTTAATCAAGCATCTATATCTGATAAGAAAAAATGCTTGTGGGTTGCTTTCGGTCAGTGGTTGGGAATGGAGGAACCAATCAAAAGAAGAGATGTACGTGAGCATCTCAGATTGAAGTGGAAAAAGCTTGAACATGCTATGAATACTCGGAGCAATATCGAATCTCAAGATTTACAAAACACAATAAGCGCGCGTATTACACGAAACGAAAAGGTCAAACTAATATTATCAGCGCGTAAGAATTTTCACTCATTAAATGAGTTAGTGGAATTTCGTCATATAATTGAACCTGAGTGTGTTGTAGATCGAAATAATCAGACCTTAATCCATCTTGAGCAACTCGATAACTATGACGCCATTACACAAGCAACGAGTGCTGTGAATCACTATTATTTCCATACTCTAAAAAATCCATCCCATCGAAGCAATGAGTTCTGGAAGAATTTCATCGAACATTTTGGTGCATATACATTATATAACCCCCTCCCCTATACGAGTTCTAACACGGCCAGTATCCATAATGCCAATCACCAAAAATGCGTAGATAGTTTGCTTCGTGAGCTAGTACCATTATCTGATTGCGTTAATCGCTTTTTCGAGGGTTATTATAAGAGTTTGTATGAGAAGCTTAGCAAATTAGAGTGGGGACCATTTGCACCAAAAAGTTTTGGAGTCTTCCCTATGATTGCAATCAATTTTAATACGATTAGCGACTATCACTGGGATGAGCATGACGAGCTGAATTCTCTTTGCTGTTTAGTTGTATTGGGTGATTTTGAGGGAGGAGAACTATGCTTTCCTCAACTCCAAATTATTGTATCACTTCGTCCAGGACAGGTCGTGATATTCTCCTCACGTTTCTTATTACATGGCAACCTTCCCATCACGAGAGGAATTCGTCATAGTGTCGTGTATTTCGTACATGCTTCATTTTTTCATAATTTACGGGACTTTTCACAGATTTATACTGATCTTGAGGATGGGATCGAGAGAGATGCTCATGGGTTAGTTGTTCCTACAATCCCCCAGCAAGATCTCAATAATTCACGAGATCTGAATAGCTGGATCAAACTCGACAAGCCGAAAGCGAATCAGATCAGAGTTCCATCTGCATCGACCGATTGTAGAAGAGGACATATCGGTAAGTAATTACATTATGTGGTGTTGATATATAAGCTAAAAAAAATGGATATTAACATATAATTGAATATTATATTTAGATTTGAGACGTGCACGACGTGGTTTAAAGGCCGAGGATCCACTTCCCGATGAGTTATAGATAATAAAAATAATTAGACTCCTTAATTTCTTCATGCGTTTTAGGATATTCAAAAGAACTGAAGTACTGAAAATGCAAAGTATTCAGTTTCCTCCCCAATTGAATGAACTCGTCAGTTTTGTTGATAAATCAGATAAAGTCGCAAAGTTCTTCAGCAGTTGGTCTGTTTTCTGGGATAGGACCCCAACACTTTTCAATAATAAATTTGCACCATCCAGTAACATTATTTGGTTGGTATCGTAGGTCATACTCCATTAAAGATGTCACATACAAGGTGTGTGTAATGATCTCGTATGTAATCATCTCCAAACTAAATATCCACAGATTTAGTGTATAGTTTCCATTTGACGTCTCGGACTCAGTACTCTGTAAATTTCTTGGTTTGATTTTTTTATATCTGCTGGGCAGGTAAGTCCAAAATTGGCAAGGAAAGCATCAATATATTTTCAATCTTAGCTGGGTTTTTAGTGATTCCATAATAATTTATTCCAAAATAAGCATCACTGTACTTTAGAGCAGTCCGAATCTATTTTTGAAAACTAGAAGTTTTTTTAGGAAACAAAAAAGCGACTTGTTTACACTTAGAATTTGCTCATTTTTACCTCGTTTATAATTCTCTGTGAATCACGGTATTCATCATCTTTTTTAAATGAAATGCCGTCTGATTTTCATGCATTCTTTTATTAGACAGTCGATATACTTACTTTCAGTAAACCATTTAGTTTCATAAAGTTGATAGTGAAAATCGAAACATTCACTGAAGCGATCGTTTTTTTTGACAACGAGTGCATTTACTGCAATCATGAATTTGGTAAAGATTCGACTGGTGTAAACGGCGTTTGAATATATTTGTTATTTGTTTATATCTGTAGAGATACTTTTTGCAATTTCATCTCTCAATTTCTAGTTTAATTTCTTCGTGCGTTTTAGAATATTCTAAAGAACGAAAGTACTGAAAATGCAAAGTGTTCGATTTCCACTGTTTTGAATCGTAATGAAAGAACCATTTGTTGGACAGAGTCATAGTAGTGTTCTCATATTAGACATCTATAACGGAGTATGACCTATAATACCAATGTTTTCTTGAGTAACTATCCTTGTTGATTTTGTAATTTATATATTCTATTCTGATAGGTCTTATGAATATAGTGTCATTCTTTTTTCTATTGTGACTTGAATTTATTTCTGTGTTCAACATGTCATTTCATATTATAAATAGAGATGTTAAGTCGTTCAGATAAACTGGGTCCGAGACCCAGTTTGAACTATCTTTTTTAACTGTCCGTTCAGGAGAGGTGAACAAACTGGATCCACCAGTCCTTTTTTGTGGTTGATCCCACTAAGGATCCAGTTCTTAAAGACCAGTTAACTGAACAAGTTCACTAGATTGAGTTCACTTCTTACAGATTAGTTTGTTATCTAAAATTGGCTAATTATCCTTGACGAAAATGAAATGTTTTGTTAAATAATATGCACCCCATGTATTTTTATTTTGTGCAGTTCATTACCTGCAGTAAATCTTCCATGCTAAAACTCGTTACTTCACTTTCACATTATAAAACTATAAAACACATTACTTTTAATTATTGTTTTATTTCAAGCTCATTGCTTAGTCTCTTAATAATAATAACTCTTATCCTATAATAAAAATCTTTTTGCTACATAACTATGTCTACCTCTCACATTGATCTTGAGTGTGCTTATAATATTCTTTCTCTTCAAACAAACAGTCTTTCAAGTAATCAAAGCAGTTTTTTGAATGGTGCCAATTTTCTTCAAGAAAGCAATTTTCTTTTCCTTGATAATAATTTTCAAGAAAGCAGTTTTTTTGTCCTTGATGATGATGTTCAAGAATGCAGTAACAAGCAAAGCAACCTTCTAAATGGCAATTTTCAAAAAAGCAGTGATGAGCAAAACCTCCTCCTAAATGATGATATTCTTCAAGAAAATAGCAACAATCAATACAACAATGATCAAAACAGTAATGATCAAGACAGCAACGATCAAGACAATAATGATCAAGATAGCAATGATCAAGATAGTGATGACCAAGGTAGTCATCCAAATGATGATTAAAAAAGTATCGATGTGCAAAACAGTCTTTCAAATAATAGTTCTTTTATAATTGAAGATTTTAACAGTGAAATTTTATCTATTGATCTCTTACAAAGTGAAGCAAATGCTAAAATTCAAGGATCCAATTCTAAACAATAAAAAATTTGTCATCCTCTTTGGAACTACTTCAAATAGTCATCAGATAAAAAGTATATTTACTGTAATCTCTGCAGGAATCATTATGGCAAGAAAACTGGTATCAGCATCATCAAGCAACATTTTGAAAATTATCACAAAGGAGAATACAAATAATATCAATCAAAATTAACTTTCGAACAAATTGAACATTATGATGTCCATGATGAGAGAAAAATCAAATGATTGAATAGAGTTTTGCTTCAGTGAATCATTTGTAATCAGCAAGCTTTTAGTATTGTTGATGACAAAGATTTTTGTACATTAATTTTGACTCTGGATCCAAGATTTAAATTGTCAACAAGACAAACCATCTCGAATCATGTAATGCATATATACAAGCAAAAACAAATTTAACTACACAACTTTTTTTAATATTTTAATCATAAGGTCACAGTTACTACTGATATCTGGATGGCATGTACCAATCAAGTTTATCTTTTAGTCATATTGTATTGAATTAATGATAATTGGTGTTTACAATACATTCTTCTTGATTTTATCCCTCTTCATGAATGACATATGGGTACTTTTTTGATTGAGAATCTTTGACAACAAATTGAGTACTTTGATCTGGGTATAAAAATCTTATCGATAACTGCTGACAATATCACGAATATGGATGTTTGTTGTCGACATTTTGTCAGCATGCTAGAATCATATTGTAATAATACTACTTTTTGCAGAATACAGTGTGCAGCTCATGTACTAAATCTTGCAGTTATCCAGGGTATTTCAGTTATTGATTAATTAATAAAGAAGACTCAAATATTTGCCAGCTATATCTGTTGGTTTTAGTCTTGTTTTGAAGAGTTAAAAAAAGTATTTGCGATGAAGAATAAATCATTTCTTGTACCTAATCTTGATGTCGAAACACGTTGAAACTTAATGTATCTAATACTCAACAAGTTATATTAAATCTGAGAAATGATTGATATTTTGATAGTTTCGATACTTGAGCTTAAGTAACTATATCTGACTGATTGAGAATAAGAAAAAATAAAAGCTATTATAAAACTCTTGTAACTGATATATGAAGTCACCAAGTAAGATTGCTTGCCGAAATCCCTTAGTGACTGTCTAAATTTTGTCGAAATTATAATAAACTATTAGTAAATAACCCATCGAAATTCTGACGAATTTTGAAACCTGTCGTAACTGAAATTATGTCGAAATTCTAATTAACAATTAATGTGTAACCCGTCGAAATTATGATGATATTTTTCTAAAAGAATTTAGGCAAGCATCCTTATCACCAAGTTACTCTCCTCCTCAAACCATCCAACAATCAGAGATTTACAGATTGTATTTTTCGTAATTCTAATACTTCTTACTGAGATCCAAAGTAAATCAAGATCAATTGAGACACATATTGCTGAAAAAATTACCCAGAAACTCGATGGCTATTGAAATGATTTGTAGTTTTACTTTCATGAAATATTACTTGATCCATCAATCAAATTTATGACTTTCAAATTTAGTACCGACAAGTATAATGCATATCAGACAATTCACACAATATACCAAGCTTATATACTAATTATAGAAGATATAAATCAACAATCATTAAGACTAGACCAGATCACGTCAGCTCGTGATTACTTTAGACATCAATTGAAATGAACACACAATATAAATACAAGCAGCGATATATTGGATGAATACCTTAATGTGACTGATGAAGATGTAAATGTTTTTGCCTATTGGAAATTGAAATCTTCAAATTTGCGATGGATACCTCTTGTTAAGATAGTTCGCAATTATCTTGTTGTTCAAATAACTAGTATTTCTAGTGAACAGATTTTTTCAACAGCAAAACATACTATAAGTGCTGTGTGTAATCAATTAGATAGTGAAAAGGCTTATATTTATAATCTCTTATACATTGTAATATTATATTGATAACCTCTTACATGTTTGTAATATCATATTTATAGTCTGGACCTCTCACATGTTGTGATATCATATTGTTAGAATGATTTAATAAATTGAATTTATAATATTTTACTTGTCTATAAGTCATCGTCATAATTATTAAATACACAGTAAATTATAAGAAGATTTTTTAAGTCACTTTTTAGCTGACTGGTAATTTATTGAATATATGTTACCAATTTTTAGTAATCTTATCTTATCTCTCCCATCTGACTTGAAACATGTGTTAAGCACATAAGAAGATATAGTATATTTGAAATCTAAGTAAAACAGTGATAATATTCATAATAACTTAATTATTATTATTATTTTTGTGCATTTTAGAATTCATATATATGACTCAGTTATTTTATTAAATATAAGTGCTTGTATAATAAGATATAATTTAGTATTATTATTTATGACAAGAAAAAGCAAAAAGAATATTTAATAACAGTTAGTTTTGATAGTATTATTATTTAAAATAATATTATAATACTTTAATCAAAGAATAATTTGTACTAGTAATATCTAAAACAGATAGATAAGTTAATTTTTATTGTCTAGCTTGAACTCAATAATTTATTTATAATCATAAAATTTTTATTCAATAAGTATTGTTAATAGATAAGATATATTTAGATTGTTATCAGTGTGAATTTTGAATTTTTGTATAGTATTACAATTATATTATAAAATTTATTAATTCTATAAATTGTAATATTTCATAAAATTATGAAAATCATGTAAAGAACTTAGAATAATTCACAATTTTTTAAATATATTATTAATTATAATATTCATATATTTTTATTTTTTTATCTTGTACTTCTATACTTTTTATACTTTTCTACTTTGTACTCTTATACTTTTATACTTTTTCTATCTTATACTTTTATACTTTTTATATTTTTTATACTTTTATATATTTATACTTTTTATACTTTTTATATTTT